TGCTTCTAATTCCAAGTTGGATGCTTATTTCCCTGTTTATCTTGGTTTAGTCATTGGCTTCTAGGCATGATGGTTTTTCTTCTCCTCTGTTTCTTTGGGGGAAGGTATGATGAAGATATTCCTATGTTGTCATCTGAAGATGAGGTAGGGTATGGCTCTTCCTGGCTATCAAGGTGGGTCCCCAAAGAAGAGACAATCTTTGGCATCACATGACATTTCCCTGTTCAGGGCTTTGTGAATCAGTACCAGAATCTCAACACAGACATTTCTGGCCACAGAAGCAGTATATTTTGTGGTGATCTCACCACTCAGGAGATGGGCACCAGCATTGTCTATGAGCTGCAGAATTTTGTTTTCATTAAGGCAGAGGGAGTTGCCAGCTTGAGAATGCTAAATGTTTTAAGTCTGCTGCAGTGCTATTATTGCTGTTATTCTTACTATTGCTCCTGTTGCTACTACTGCTACTACTACTAGCATGATCCAAGACAAGTGATCACTGCCCTCAGGTTTGTGTTCGTCAGTGAAAAGTCAAATTTTGCTGTAAAAAAAAAAAAAAAATTTCTAGACAACTTCAGATAACAATATTTAAAATACCCACTACCTTAGAAAAGCAGAATAGAACATTACACTTACTAGATTCTGCATAATTTTCTCCTTGCCAGAAAATGTAGTTTATCACATATACACCATCTTGAATTAAACCCACTATTTTCTGAATATTACTGCTCTCACTTACATATTAGGCATTCTTTCATCATTTTAGTTCTGTTTCTGTAGTATATTTTATCCTTTCTAGATCTATGTTTAGTCTTCTAATGTGTCAAAACTAATCATTATTAGAGAAGTCTGATGAGTGCTTTCTGCTTCTCTTTAAAAAAGTACTGGAATAGATGGTTGAACTTCCTAAGTATTGGCTTGCCTCATAAGGGGTTGAAAAGGTGTCAAAATGAGAAAAAAAAAATTGTTATTGTACTGATTAAGATCAATATTTAATATTGATGATGCAAAAGCATAGACATTCATTCTAATCCTAAGCTAGATGAAGATTTTTGTTCCAGATCATGAAAACATGCAAAATTATTCCATTTTTTTGTAAAATCCTTCACCCTTTTAAAATAGTTCAGGCTGTCTCTGGGTTAAATTATTCACTCAGCTTTCATAATAATAACTGTTTAACTATACCAGTCTAACTTAAAAAAAGAAAGTAAAACAAAGCAAAACCAAACAAAACCACAGAAGGCTGTTGATGTCAGGACTGTTATTCTTTATTTTCATAAAGCCCATGGGAATTTTGTTAATATGAAAAGGAAGTCTCAGACAGCAGTAGCTGTATTAAAAAGCTTACTTCTTAAATAGGGGTTTTAAAGTTTGCCTACAGAAATTAATGGAAGTGAAGATTTAAGACTTCAGCCTGGCTGTTGATAGGGACTTCTGTGAGTTCACAGAGGACTTGCTGGTGGAGGGGCTGATAATGAAATTGATTCACTTTACAGATATTTAGTATTCTGGCAGAAGAACTTTATTCCAGGAGAAGTCTCAAGCATAAGAAAGCAAGTCCCTAACGTAGGTGAATCAGAGCAATGTTTCTGCTTCAGTTATCCCTTAAAACAGTGAGCATTCACTTTGAAAAATCTACTTTTGAGGCATAATGCTAATAGGACACAGAATGGATCTGGCTGTTTTATAATGCGTGGGCCTGTAATATATGCCAGCACTGATTATCTTAAAACTAGAAATCAGCCAAACTGCTGCAAGAAATTTGTCTAATTAACAAAAATATGCTACTAAAAGGCCCAGTTATTAGAGTGGTTTGGAGATTGCAGGTGAGTTGTACACCTGAAAAAGACTGCAGTTTATTTTATAATAAAACAGCAAAACCAAACCTAAAAAAAAAAAAGTTTGTAAGGTCCCTCTTAATTCGTTCTCATTCTCTCCCCCATTATAAACTATGCTATCGTCTTGCACACACATCTATGTAGTATACACAATCTGACAAAATTCAAGACTGTTTTGGTAAGCAGTGTTAATCCCCTATTAGTATTTTGTAGTAAGTAGGCTGTCAATATGGAAATTTGCCTGCAAATGTCAACGATCCCATGAGGTAACTGCTTTCAGAAAGATACTAATAATACCTTGTGCATTAAGAACTCTTTTGAACTGGTAAGGTATTTATGGATTGTTTGTACTGCAAAGTAGCTGCAGAACAAATAAAGGTAAACTCTCTGAATCTCCATGAAATCTCTGGGAAATAAGGCAAATTTAACAGACTAGAGTAAAACCACACTGGGTAGTAGTGACAGGCATAGAAGAGGACACATTCAAGATGGGGCAAAGAGGTCTGATACACTGTACTGAAACAAAAGTATTTACCATTTTTTTGCCAGATGTCGGACTAAAAAGTTCGATTTTCCTCCCCCAGTAACTATTCCAAACATGCCAGACTTACAGAACAGTTTTCTATCTCTGGTACCCTCTGCGCTGTGCTCTTCCTGCTTTTTTGCTCCCTTCCTCTTCCATGTATTATGCCCCCTTATAGCTTTGAAGATAGCCCCGCTTTGAGCTGGAGACTGGACCAGTGACCTCCAGAAGTCCCTTCCAACTAAGATTTTTCAGTGATCCTATGATTATCTGATAATCACAATTCCTTTTGCCTTCTGGCAAAAACTTATTCGGGATTTCTCTAGTATTAAAATCTTCCATTCCTTCACTATAGTTAATGAATCCACTCCCAAGTGGATTTATTCATCTTTAACCTTTTACTGCGATCTCTGCCTTCTGTCTCCTTTCTATGCTTTTGTGTGCTCTCTCTTTGTCTGCATTGTGTCCTTCCTTTAATTTATACCACTTTCTAGTTCACATATCTCACAAACTATGTGCGAGAACCTCCTGAACAAAGCCTCAACAACAAAGCTCCTTTAAGTCATAGATCATCTCTAGATCATCCATTGCTAGATATCATGTTCTGTAATTGTAATTAATGACATTGACAGAGGAAGTTACCTAAATGAGTTTGTAAGGTGTATTTCAGTGAGCAATAAGAAATATTCAATCTCTGCTGCTTGTGCTGTTCTGCACAATCTCATGACCTACCTCCAGGGAAGGATCAAACATCTTTTTTTGTTAATACTCATACTGCAGAGGGTCTCCTGGAGAGAAGATTGCTTCCTTCAGTAATAAGAGTAAAGGTAGACGAATAGTCCCTTTCTCCCAGCTGCTTAGTGAGCAGCCAGGTGTCATTCTTCCTCACCTTCACTTCATATATTCCCAGCATTTTAACAGTCCTCAAAGTTTTCCACTAGAAGTGTTTTCTGGATAGCAATGGAAAGCCTCAGTCTCACATGAACCCAATTGAGATAGCCTACTTCAGTCCCTTAGTTCACCTGTTATATTCATAGTTTTGGGATAAAACTGAAAATACCAACAGTCAAGGAAAATTTCAGCAAGAAAATGGAATTTGCAAGTCTATAAATGTCTTCCGAGTGTGTTCTTATAACTTCTAATGCTAATGTTAATTGGGAATAGAGGTTCCTGTATTATCTAAGTCAAGTTTTCCTTTTCTGTTGACTTTTTTGATCTCCTTTCTATTCCCATTTTATGGGGATAATTGACTAAGTTCCAAAAGTGGATTAAAATCATCAGGTGAACATAGACATATCAGTTAAAAAGAGAATGTGAAAAATCTGAAGAGAACTTCTAAACCCCAGGCTCTTTGACTAGTATCCCAGGTGAAAACAGAGAAGGGTAAATCTCTCACTTTGTCAAAAGAAACTTCAATATTCTCAAATATTCTTTCATTGGGAGGCTACATTACTGGTGGCCTTGAATGCAAATATGTGCCTAATCAATGTTTTTCAAAGTTCTAGGCAGAGGCCATTAAAGGTGTGACAAATCTAAGCCTTTTTACAAATGACCCTTTTTGACAGAAACTTGATGTGGATTAATTAAGATCAAAATAACCAAGGCAAATGAGGTTTAGACTACTAATGTTTCTCTTTTTTTTTTTTTTTTCTTCTCATGAGCACACACAGGGACATGCACTTCTAAAATGTCAATTTGTAAGACCCCATTCTTCCATCTTGTTGGAAAAGACTTTGCTATCTTCTGTTGCTAGTTTCATTTAATTGGTGAAAATAAAATGCAGTTTGTCACCTAACTGATACTTATACAGACTTCAGAAGGTGAAGTTACAATTTTAGCTAATTATAAAAAGTTTTAATGTATAATTCTTTCAACAAAATAAAATTTTCTTAGTACTTAGTAGTAAAGAACAAGGGAATTATGGATTCAAAAAACCTGGGTTTTTTTACCATTTTGTTATGGAAAGTATATTCTTATTGAAAAGATTCTATTTACTGTGCTTTTTGAGAGTGAGCTCTCACACAAGTACCGATCACAGCCTAAGATACCGTTATTTAAACATTGTTTTCTTACTGGTATGTCACTGCTAAAGCAAGGCTCATTAACTACTTTATGTAATAGCATAGTAACTTCTGAGGAAGCTGAACTTCAAGCTTGGGAAAGGTTTATATGTGCCTATGCATTCATATTTTCTTATTATTTTGGTATTTTATTTCCTAAGCTCTTTAAGGGACTAGAAAAAGAAAAAGGTTTTAATATTTTTGTATTAGATTTTATTCAATACTGTGATGACACTTTCACATTCATTACAAAGCAATTGATCATTTCGTAGCATACAGTGACAGTATACAATAACTCCAACAGCTTTCTCGCACTTCAGTTCTAGAGTAACTTGCATTTTTATTGACATGATGTAACAGTGACTTAAGACTCATACTACACTTTCCTCACTTTTTTTTTAGTTATTTTTCAAAACAGTTAATGAAGCACAGCAAACATCTTTTAGTATCTCGCTACCTAAATTTCTGCAGCTGTATCTAGTTCTCATCCAGTTACTGTGTTAAGAAACCATGTTCAAATTGAGGATGTCACAGAATATTGATTATTTCAAAAGGCTTAATACCCACTTGTGTATTTTGCAGACAATCCTGAGCTAGTGAGCCACGTTCCAGTTGGTGTTAGAATCCTGGACGTCAATGACAACCCTCCAGAACTCGCCAGAGAGTATGATGTAGTTGTCTGTGAGAATGCAAAGCCTGGTCAGGTAACTCTCACAGTTATCTTTCTCGCAGTGAGAAAGAAGAATTACTTTATTTGTTAATGCCACATAGGTAAGAAGTTTGATTCGGGGAGCACATGTCATAATTCTTTCTGATTTCATTTTTGTATTTCACATTTGATTCAACTTTTTAACTGTATTAGGCTGAAAGGAGAAGATTTGGGAATTTGTTCAATTTATTTTTCTTGTTGCTGCAAAAAAATATCCAGACTATCTTCAGTAAAGACAGGCAAAACTTTAATCTTGTCAGATAAGTGATGGAATTTGACAAGTCACTGTCCTGAACAAAATGGATGAATCAGATTTAACATCTCTTATCTAAGTGCCACATGGTAGCAAGGTTTCAAATACAGCGCAGTGAAATGGCTGGTTAACATGACTGCCATTCTCACTTTTTGCATGTTGATTGCTCTTGTCTGTGCAGGGTCATTATGGAAAACAGGCTGAAAGGGTTTTTCACAACTATGAGCATGGGGAGGGTCAGAACTGAGACTGAATAGCAGAATCACATTCCAGCCACTGCTCCTGTGATTGATGCACTTCATTGCAGTCCATGGTTTGACAGTTTTGCCAAGTGCCTTTGCTTTTTTGCATAGATGGAGCTTTTACCCAGCACTCTATGCTGGTTTTGCATTATCATACAGGTTGTAAGTTGCAATTGTGAGTTCATATCTTTCCTGAGGAATAACAGTTAGTAATAACAGTTTTCTCATCGAATCTTTAAAAGCAGCATGCATAAATGCATAGTGGCATATTTCTGGCTTTGACATTGAGACTATAAAAATACTGCACTTCATCAGACTATAGTCTGACCAAAGTTATCTTGACTCTAACAGTGGCCAAAAGCTAACACCTAAAGAGCAGTATAAGAACACAGCAAGCATGTGTGATACTTACCCCAAGTACTTCCCTGGTCTCAGATCATTTGCAGATCATTTCCTCACCCAAATATGATTTCTGTGTTTATAGTAGTCCTTTAATAACCATCTCATATGAATCTGTTCAGCTTTTCCTACAACAAACAAACTTTTGATATCTGCTCCCTCATGCAGCAAGGAATTTTACAGTTTAATCGCATGTTTCAGGAAGACCTACCACCTTCGGTTTTTTCTTTTTTTTTTTTTTTTAATCTTCCCATGCGGTCTTCAATCGATATTTACCAGTTCTTGGGTTGGAAGAGAGAGAGAGCACACAGTTGATACCTATTTATTATCTCTGTGCCATTCATAAATCTCTAGTACATTGCTCCTCAGCCGTCGCTTGTCCAGACTGAAGAGTCCTACTTAACTTGGACAAGCCATGATAAAGCCCTTCTAGACTTGTGATCATTCATCTTGTCCTCCTCTAAACTTTCTCCAATTCCTCTCTATTCACCTTGAGATAGGGAATGAAGATTCAAGATGCAGTATGCAGTGGTTTATAATTCTTATCATACTTTATGCTTCATAGTATGTGATGATCTCTGCTTTGTTTTCTATTCCCTTCCTAGCAATTTCTAACAGTGTCTTTGCTTTTTAAACACTAGTAGGCATTGAATGCAAAAAACTTCCTGCCGTAACACCAATATCATTAGAAGTAATGGTCAGCTCAGAGATCATTGTCATGTATGTGAAGTTAAGACCTTATGTCTATGTATAATGAATTTCACCTGGTTTTGTATTGCCTGGCTACTGGTCTTTAGTGTCAGCCCTTCCTCTTTTCTGTCTTGGAACAACCCAGTACCATAAGTAGATTTGGTGGGCTGATTAATCATACATCATATATAATCATATAAGATGTTTATTGTTACACTGACCAACACGTGGCCCAGCATAAATCTGTGTGGAACAGGAAATCTCTGTGACTGCCTTTCCTTGTGGAACAGACCATTTATAGAAGAGACGCTATTTCCTGTCTTTTGGGCAGTTACTTGTGCAAGGACTTCCCTCTTATGACTGCGTAGTTTTCTTCAGTGGTCTTATTAAGACACCTCACTCAAAGCCTTTGGAAAACTAAGTAGGTCTGTCTATCAACTAAATATCTCTTATTAACATGCTTATTAAAGTAAAAATAATGTTCTGAAAACATCAAATAAAGCCAAATATAAAAAAATTAGAACTTGTAAAAGACTAATTTAAAAAAAAAGATAAAATCTCTTAAGCATTAATTGCCATTACTTTCAACATATTCTGATATTTTTAAATTATGTAATTTAACAATAATTGTTAAATAATTGCTATAATTAATAATAAGCTAAAGCATGCAGTGAAGCTAGCTCAGAAATGCTGTTTGCCGGGGGTCGTGTTGGTGGTGAGTAGCTGATGTTTCTTATTCGCATAGTTTTAACTCTCTAATAGTAGCTTTGTGTGGTTGGTCTAATTTTCAAACGAAAATTTATGAGAGGTATTTAAAGAATAAAATACCTTTTACTAGAACAGCATTTGCTCCTGATTTGCGTAAGCATTGTATTTCTGTCTGAGCTACTGTTGCAAGCGTGAATGACTCCTGACATCTGTAGCACTGCAGTTTAACACCCAAGATGAATGCTACCATGAAGGACTCTACAAGCAGTAGTTTAATATGAATGGCTGAATCACCATGCTCTTGTATTCTTAAACTAACAGGACTCCATTACATACACAACATGCACTAATTTTTATTTGCATTGCCAACAAGGCTTCAGAAAAGATTGTGATACCATTCCACTGTACAAAAAAACGAAACCAAAACAAAACACAAAAGTACATGGCTCTTACTCAGAAGATCTTACTGTCTAGTTTAAGAAAGAAAATGACAGCGTTCAACAACTGTTGAGGGACAAATAAAGAAGGATTACAGAACAAGACAAGTGTTCCATATGCTAAAAAGCATGGCCAGCTAGATGGTTTTGAATCACTGAAGAGGCAGTATTTACTCTGAGTTATCCATCATCTTGTGAGAATGATTCATAAGATTTATCACTAAAGAACAAATTCTGTCACGTACTGCCGGGCACTTCTGCTTGACTAGTGCTTTGAGGCTGGGCTCCAGCCCTGCACTGCCCTGTAAGAGTCCTTATTTCTTTCCTCAGTGCATCTATTTTGAATTTATTGTGTACAAGATAAACTAACCAATCATTGGTCATTGGAGACTTTTTGTGTTTGCTTGTTTATTTTCAGAATAGGCTTCTATGGAGAGAAATCACAGTATCATTTAACTGCACAGCCTCTGTCTTCTGCTTCTTGTTCCCTCCACAGATCAATTTATTCACTTAAAAAAAAAAAGCCAATAAAACTTAAGGACTTAAGCGTTTAAATGACCCCCCCTAAGGCATCACAAACAGAAAATGCTTGTGAGAAGGTGATCATTTCCACACTGAAGTGACAGCTTTACTCTGTTAGCAGTCACCTTGTTGAGAAGATAAACTAAGTATTTCCAACAGCTTCCAGGTGAAGCCTAGTAGATATTATATATTAAAGTAGATAAAGCAGCTGTGATTTGATCTTAGATGGTATCCAGACTTGGAGAACTCTAACTTCTAGAAATAGAGTGATTTTGTGAATGATTGTGAAATTTAGCCAATGTCGGACAATGAAATCTTGCAATCTTCCACTAAGTGAACTTACAATGAAATTTTCCTTTGCTTCAAATGCAATTTGTTTTATTATTTTTAACACAAAGGGAGCAAATAGTAGTGTAAAAAAAGTTTAAATGTTTTGTTCTGGAAAGTGAAGGAGTGAAGTGTTGACAGTTTTCTGAATGTTTCCAAGTTCAGTGTTTGTCCTGGCAGAGTATGAAGCTGTTAAAATATCTGACTAGATCTACTAGTCATATTCGCTATAGCTTTCCAAAGATTATGTTTTTTCTGGGTGCTTTTCAGAGGAATAATATAAAAAGTTACGACAGTAGCGAAATGTCATTTCCCTGACACTATCCATCACAGTAAATTAACTCACAGGTGGGTGTACGTGCACACACACACACACACACACACACACACACAAAGAACTTTTTCAGAATCGGGGTGTATAAATGTTGCACTGCCAACGTGAGCTACCTTACCCTGGATGCTGTTATTTCTAATAGCCACAGGAAATGAGCGTTAGCTGGCAAGGAATGCCTCTGCTGTAAGTTTGTCATGTGTATATTTACCTGTGTATTGATTCAGTTCTGAAAAAGATCTGAGTAGAATTTAGCACCTGCTCTCTATCCTCTTCAATTAGTTTTCCTCCATTCTTGAAATTCTTTCTTTTCTTGACAACTCTTGCCTTTAAGAAAATAACATAACCGTTCAGTTTCATCGCTTCAGTGCTGTCATGTGAGCTTTACAGCAGCTGAGGTTCTGTGTCTACATTTTTATTTTAATCAGCTTTGGTAAGGTGCATGTCAATGTCTGCTCATAGGCCACTAATTAATTGGCCTATTAATTAGAAAAGGGTTAACAGTACATTTGAGTGTCAAAAGGACACACACTTTTGTTCCTCACCTCTGAATGAATGTTTTAGAAATCTTTTCCTGAGAAAGGAGCCTTTTCTGAAAGGATGTGAAATTTCTGTTTAAAAACAGTTCTGTCAAAAATATTTTGACCTGTCTTGCTACACATACAATATCTATTTTCCACATGGAAAAGCATTATTTCTATACCATCTAGTGCTGTACGTTTTACATACATTGGTGAATTCAGGGGATATTTGAATTACCATGTGTGAAATCAGGGAATGTGGACAGTGTATTTTGTTGAGTTTTAATATTAGTCTTAAAACCAAATAAATTTTATACTAGACTTGTGGCACTGAGGTCTTGATCAAAGGTATTTTTTTTGCAAAATGGCATGTTCTTGAAGCAAGATTCTGTAAAATGTCACTGAACGTTTTATGTAAGAGAGGGCAACAAGACAGAAGTTTATCTACTAGGCTGTCAAATAAAAGCTGAAGCTGCATGGCAAACTGACTTATATTTCAGTGATAAACAGCACTGAGGATTTATAAACAATATTTAATAAATTCATATTTTTTTAAGGTCTTCTCTGAATTTTTTACAGCTATGTATGGTATTTAACAGTATTTTTAGTATTTGAGTGATAACAGAAACTGATTCTCTTGAAAATATTCTTCCATCAACTTTTTTTTTTGTCTTGCTTTGCCTCATACCATTTCAACTTTATTAACTAAATATGTCTAAGATAATAATAGTTCTGTTTTTACATGGTGGTTGTTTCAATAACAGATATGCCACCTTTGCAAAATTCAATAGAGAATGATTAGCTTTTGCCAAACTTTTTCACCAATATTGCCATGACTTTGGTAAACTGCATGATTATAGACATTTCAGATTGATCTTAGTCTGCTACAGTTCAGCAAAAAAGTATTGCGACAAACTTTTAAAATATTCTCAGGAATTACTGTCGGTATTGTTAATTGTCTCAGGTGTGTATAGGCAATATAATGTACTATATTGTATATAGTCAGTGGAATAAGCATTGTGCTCTATTGGCTTTAAAATGTATATGTTTTGCTTCTCTTATGTGAATGGAGGTAGAGAACTGTGTGTTGTCTTTTAGTTTCAAAACAGACAAAATCACTTGAGCCCGCACTGTTTATTCTTCAGGTTCAGTCCAGACAGACCACAGCTGAACACTGAACAGAAAAATTCTCATGAAAAGAGCACTTCCCCTCCCCCTTTTACGTTTCCCTCAGGATATCTATCAGCTCTGTGCAGCAGTCTGTGTAGGCTTCAGTGCCTATATCACAAGAACAACTTTTATTAAATTCTACTTTAGCACTTGAGCTTCTAGGCCCAGCATGAAAATGAAAGCAGAGGTAGAAATATTGCTTGGTCACACATTCCAAAAGCTTAGCTCAGTTTTAGTTGAAAGTAAATTTTAAAAACCACCAGGGCTTTCGAAGTCAAAGCTCCTACCTTTCGGAAATACCTCTCCCATACATGACTACTACATCTAATTCTGTTCCTTTTGGGCAAACCAAACTAAAACCAGGAGTAGCTGCTGTTCTTGTTCTGTTCTCCAGTGATTTAAAACTGATTCTTAACAGGAATTTTAAACAGAGAGTTGGTATTATATACGTGCCATTTTGGTTAAACAATTATTTTTCCTAACCAATATTGAAGTGCATCTAATTATTGGGATGCCAAGCAGATGATGCTCCGCATCGACCATATTGGTTCAGCCTGAATTTTTGCTCCATAAAAACAGATGTTTAGGTGAAACTGTAATTCCGAAAGTCACCAGGATGCAATGCAGATGGTGAAAATCTCTGTACCAGGTCCTGACCATATCAGAATGTCAGAAAGTATAGATGCTTTAGATGCTTTTATCTAGCGCTGAAGTGTGGTTCCTAAAATATTTCATGCTAGAGAAATCAAGCTAATGGCCCAGTCATTTCATCAGTTGAAGTTAGCAGCAGTCAAGTAGAAAATCAAAGTAAGCAAAGTTTGAGCATCCTGCTGAGGTCAGGTACTATTTGGGTCAAATTCAAATTCCAACACATTCACTGTTAATTTTTATTTCAGGTAATTCAGACTATCACTGCAACTGACAAAGATTACTCTGCAAATGGGGCAAGATTCCATTTTTCCCTTGATGAAGGGCTTTCTTTGAATCCCAACTTTACTCTAAGGGACAATGAAGGTAAATCAAACACATAAATCTCAAAGAAATGGATCTCTGTTTTGTCTGCGATATCTCATTGAACAGAACAATGTCCATGTGTTTCTTGACAGAAGGGGAAAACTGTAATCTGTCATCACTGAACTGGCTGATATCAAGGACATGGTGTATACAACATATTGCAAACTATGAAAATCAGATATTGCATTTTATTTTTATATTCCATTTTATTTTAGCATTTATACTTCATACATTCAGGAATGTTTTTAAAAAAAGATGTTGGCAATTTGGTCCATTTCTAGGTGAACAACACTGAGTGGGTACTGTCAAGGTTATTGCCAATTATTGCTTAAAGGAGAAAATAAGAATTTAAGGGGCATAAATGTTGAATTCATGCTTATTTTTACAGATATGATGCCAAGAGCTGGTCCTTCAGTGCTTCCTGGATGAGAGCCTATCACTTTGTGCTCTTCCTAGCAAAGTGTGCCTAAAAAGTATAATCAGAAATTCATAGCAGATAGGCCCTGAAGGAAAAGGGCCTTCAAAGTCACCCAGCCAAGTGTTTCTGAACATTTCTTGAATCAAAGAACCATCCAGCCTTTCAAAACAACCCAAAATCAGCCTTACTATTTGTTGAGTATTGCCTTATGGTTTCCATTTTGCAACCCAATGAAAATGCTAGTAAACTTTAAATGCTTGTCTGTAGCTTTCCTCTTGAGCTTTTGTGTATGTGTCAGTTGTGTGGTTTTGTTTGTGTGGAAGTGTGGCGGGGGTTGGCTTTGTTTTACAGTTATATTTTTGCAGTAGTGCCATGGACTACCTTCTGAAATCTTACTGATCTCTACTCATCTGTAATGACTGAGAAGCATTAACTCCATCATTGGCACATACAGTGATGTTTAAACTATTCTTTACAGATACTTTTTATCTGTTTGTAAAACCTTTCGGGGAAGGAAACTGCAGAATCTTCCTAAATAATCTGTTCCAATGTTTATTTACAGCAGAAAAAAAAAACAAGTCATGCTATTTGTTCGGACTAGATTCATGGCCCTCATATTCTGGTTCCAAAAGAAATCAATCCAATATCTACCAGTATAAAAAAAAAAAATATTTGAAGGACTAATTCATATATTAAAAATATTCCTTAGGTGATGACTCCAGCCCTTTCCAGATTAATGTATCAATTCCACTCAGATTGTGATGGAGCATTATAGCAAAAGCCAGAGGGCTGTTAAGTGTACTGTTGTGTATTTTTGTATTTGAGTCTAAGATTCAAATAAACTCATTGAGTATTGGACTGTGTTCTCATGTGGGAGACCATGGCCATGTTCATTTCAGTACAAGATACTTTCATCAAGACGTGCTTTTGAATAACTCTTATTAAAATTGTGGTTCATGATGAAGTAGATATTTTAGGGTTTTGAACATATTTTAATTGGGATCTGTATGATATATGTTTATTACCAGTGTTATACTTTAAGGACTGCATGTCAACATAAGTTATTTACCTATACAGATTTATAAGAGGTTGAGAACTTTTCATAAATCTCTAATTCAGCACTGTCATCCTTTGGATATACGTGTGCAGCAGTAAGTATTTGCTGCTTTCTTATTACCTCCCCAAGAGCAGTGAGCAACGACTTTACCACCAACAGCAGAAGCAGTGCTTGGACTATCCTAACGTTGGATTTGGCAAGGGAAAGTAGGGGAGGAACTGGAAAAGGTGTCCTTTAAGGTCTTTACCTGTTGTGCATTTTGTTTGTATTTCACCTAAGGAGATACAAAAAGTAAGTATGCACTTCCTGTAGCACCGCGCATAGAACTTCTACACATACAGACACTCCAGGAATGCAATTTCCAATTTGCCCATATAATTAACACAATGACAGTTTAACTCAAATCATAACAAGAAATTTATCTTAAAAACAAAAGCACTGTCACTATTTTGCTCAGCACATGACCCTTTGATTGTACTGTTTAAACACTCCCTTTATTGGGACCTTTTCTTTGTGATATAATCTGTATGTAAAATATCAGTGAAACACATATAAAGTGCATTCACAATACCAAGTTATCTAGCATTCACAACTTTCATATTTATCACCTATTCCTATTCAGAAATTTAATTTCTGTTGCTTTCTATTCTGCAAAACAGCTGAGAGACGGTGGGCAGAAAAGGCTTTTCTTTTGTCTGTGACAAGTTTTCATTTTTGAAAACTCATGGTTTTGAGCATCAGCTGTTAAAAAGAATCAGAATGCATTTAACATATGATGGCTGCTTTTTTTACCTCTGGATTTAATAATTCTATAAAGGCTGGCATTCTTGGAGGGTTTTGTTTGTTTGTTCTGTTATGTTTTTTAAAGAAAAAAAACTACATCAATTGCCTTAAGAGAGTTTTCAGTAATGATATTGAATTGATTTCAAGAATAAAATAAATATCTGTCACTGCAAAGCTATATTTCTCTTGCAGTCATCTTTGGATCCAGTCATCCTCTCCTTTTATTTCTTCAGGACAAAGGTTTCATTTCACAAAAATCTCAGTAGACGTTTTCTTCCCTTGTTTTCATAACCCTGAACAACAGAGTTCTGCTCTTTGAGCCCCTATACAGTATTGAATGAATCTTCCCCTACTCCATTATCATCAGTAGAGCTACAAGATCAAACGACTACAACCCTGAATTGGATCTTTAAATATTAACGCTTATATCTATGCACTTTGGCTGAAATCTAGAGGACTTGCACAAGCATAAGATTTCAGTTTGTCCCTACCTACCTGTACAGGCTGCAGCAATATACAGTCCCATCATGTGTATGATTCAGGTCAATAACATTCCATGGCTTCAGCAGAGGAAATAGATATTAGCGTGTCAGTCCAGATAATTGATCATATGACCAGTTAAACTTTTATCTCTTGGGCCTGAACTTGTTCCTTTACTCAGTAACAACCCACGTTAAAGCTTCTAGCCTTTGAATATGCACCTTCATAATGCAGAGTTTAAAACCCTCAGGAACATGTAGGTCAGGAGACAGCCACAGGGCTATGCCAAATATACAGTCCAGCAGAACCTAAGAGTTGCTTGGATCACCTTCTGGATTCTGTTGGTGTTTACAATTTTCATTTTAAAGAAAAAAATAGAAAAGACAGAATATGATACCTTTTCCCCTACTGACTGGATTCTTAAGCTACAGTAGATTCTTTGCTGCTATTTAAGGTTTTTTTATTTACTCACAAAGTACTATTCAGAGAGAATAAAGGTTTAAGAGCATGAACAAGAGGACAGCCAACAAAATGATGCAGTATCTGTACACATGTAAGCAAGACAGAACAAGAGCTGCAATAGAATTTCTTTGCTATACAAAGAAAACACATTAAATTGTAATCATTTCCTGCAATTTTAGAAAGCAAACCCGGGGAAGATGCCTTTTTGTTTGTTTGGGAATTGTACTTATGAAGACTTTTTAATGAAAACAGGATTGTTTACAGTTTATTCTGCCCGGAAAAATGTTGCAATTTCTATTAAAACCTGAGCAGCCAAATACTTTTTTTAATCTGGAGGTGCTTTTATGTTGCAGTTCAGATGCTACGTAACTCAGTTCATTGTTTGTGTTCTTCTCACTTTGTTTTTTAGGATGTTATCATAGAAAATTTTGAAATGCTTTTTTCACTTGTGTGCAACGTCTTACATTTACACTTTTTGCCTAATCAGAAATACCTGCTTTTGGATATCCCATTTAAAATTTGCAAGGGCAATATTAGACTAAAAGCACCTTCTTTTGGGGAATCAGAGGAAAGATGAAAAAGCCTTTTCAGAATAGAGCTGTTTCTAAGTATTGAATTTTAAAATCATACTTTTCTTCCTGAAAGAATCATAATATTTTTCCAGATGCTTAAAGAATGGTTGATATGTTAGTCAAAATTTGTTAGTTTGATGGAAAATGCATGTGAGCATATGTCATTGTTATTATAACCCTAACCGTTAGCATATAGACACACACTTGCATAGTCTCTCTCTCTCTGTCTGAGTTTAAAAAATTCATCCTCTCTTTCTGCCTATTTTTTTACCTATTAGAGACCTCTTTCAGAAGTTACACCACACTTTTCAGGAAGCTGGTAAAAGACTGAATCCCCAGAGGACAGTTCAGTTAGGTGCAAGAGAACATTTATGAATTCTATGCACTGTAAAGTGCTGTTTTGCCAGTGGTACTTTTTTTTTCAAAAGATATACAGTCTACCATGGATGCTTCAATGGGTATTGTAAATTTCCTGGATGATAAGGATTCATACAGAAACTGTGCACATTCACCCAGCACCGCCAATAAGATTTGTACATTCTCTTACCTTAATAAATTTGAGACTGCCAACTTCTGAAAGTAAACAAAGTTTACCTTACTTTCAAGGAAGAACAACTCCCTAGAGAATGCTTAGCGTTTGTTCTCTTCTCCTTTTATTTCTTCAGGACAAAGGTTTCATTTCACAAAAATATTTGCAGTTTTATTTTTCCCCTCTGCCCACTTTTCTCAAAGATCTGGCCTTTTGAAAATTGCCCAGTGATGGAGAATATTCTGGAGTTGGAACAAAGGTAGGCCATTTTTCTGATATTATCCCTTTGGAAATTCCTTTTTCTTAATGTTATGCCACAAGATACTTTAATACCCACAGAAGTAGCGTCCTGCTTTTCTATAAAATCTGGAGCACACTGAGTTCAATGGCATCTTTATAAGATGAAATTTGTAATGTGTTCATCCACCCTTGCCGGTGATGCAAATTCACATTTTTCCTGTGTTACAGATCAGGAATAAGGCAAAACAAGATCAGTTTTACTTGGCATTGCTGTTATTTAGGAAGAGAGCAACCTCCAGGGAGTAATTCATCCCATCCCAGTGTGAATTCCCTTGCAGAAGTTTCTGTTTATCTCTCTTCCCTGTTATGTGCAAAATTCTTATCTCCAGCCATATTGCACACAAAGTCTGTGGCAGGCCAGTGAACTGACTTCAGGGCTTTAAAGTTGCAAATAAGCAT